AAATGATAGATAAATAAAATATGCTTGCTTTGAGAGTGTTGATAGAGAAGTGTAGAGAAGATCAGAAGCTGCACTGTAGTTTTGTGGAGCTATAGAAAATGAGAAACTGGTATCACATAAGTAGTCGCAGAGATGCCTGTGAAGGTGGTGTATGAAGCCAGACTTAAGTGAGGTGGTAGGGGTGATAGATGAGTTCAAAGTGTGGGTGAGATTGTGATCTGTAGTGAGAGCAGGGAGCAAGCAACAGTGAAGGTTGACAAGAAAGTAGTGAGGCCTGTCATGGCGTATGGTTTGGAGACAATGACCTTAAAGCAAATTGAAGCAGCGGTTACTGTGATTTGGCACTAAATAAAACTGAATTTAATTGAAATAAAACAAAAAAAAGAGGAGCAAATGCTCTGGCAGAAAAGTGGTTATTAATAGCTTAATAGCTTTCAATTCATCATTCATACAGCAATAATGTTTTCTCATCTCTAACGCTCAATATGATCAATTAACGCTGAACTGTCAATGTGCAATCAAAAACCAAGCTCGACAAATCAAGCTCCATTTCCGTAGAATGTAAATAAAGGCCATCTGCTCCGGTATGTAATAGGGACCCCGACTCCTCCTATCAGGGCGTCGCCTGACGCCTTATCCCGCCCTCTAAGACCAGTCTCTGCACCTATTGGTCAACACTGAAAGGCCTGTCACTGCCTCTCTGATGTCGGACCGCCCACAGGATCGAGGACAAAAACAATCGGCATCTCGCCGTCCTCATAAAACATAAACAAGAAGACTCAAACGAATCAGTGTATCCTTTTTAAGCGGCACGGACAGCACCGAGGGAGAAATGGTTTCTCCAGTAACAGTGGTAAGTACCAGTTTCAAATGGCCATTTAAAACATTCAGGAATAAACAGCGGCTAGTTAAGCTAGTGATACAATAACGAGACTTCCGAAGATAACATCCTTAATGTGTGCATTGTCGACTGCCTCGAGCTGCTATTCAAGCATTTACTGGGTCATTTTCGTTGTTATTCATATCTTGTCATACTTTATCTTGGAAGGCCAGCGCATGCTCTCTGGTTCATTATTTAATTGCCAGTAAATAAGCGCGTCTGCTAAATGAAAAACCGTTCGCTCAGGTGCTCGCGGTAACTCACGCAGCTATCTCATTTTCTCATTGTCATTAAATAGTGTCCATCTGTATGTGTTTGTGCAGACACAAGGCAGAAACTTTCTTGTTTCCGTCTAGCCGTTTCCTTTTTTTGGCACAGCAGCGACGCTGCTCGCTGTTCCTTCTCGGTATTGAACGTACACAAATTTCGAAAGGCTATCTCTGACAAAAAAGAAAAAGCTGTCATGCCACGACCTTTTTTGTCTTTTTTTCCCGTTCCTTACCCTCCAGTAACGCATGCGCCGAGCTGTGGTCGATTCTGGCTTTCTTTTCATCTCCCTTGTTGTAGCTGTGCTTTATATAGTTTATTGTTTGGCGTATCTATTGACTCAATAATGGACCTCACCTGGAAATCGTCCATTTTGACAAAAAAAAGCTGATAACTACATGAATAATTTAAGCAGGTGGAGCATCATCTTGCTCTAGCAGAGCTGCTATGAAATTTTACCCCCTTTGCTGGGGCCATGAAGGACGGTTCATTGTAAGTTGGCCTGTAGAAAACCCGGGTGTGTAAGCCTGTGTGGAGGAATGCCTGCCATACAGACTAGTTTCCTTAGTGATGAAGATACTGTGCAGGTCCTGGTTTTCCTTTATTTCTATTAGGGTCCCAGCATTGCTGAGAAAAAGATGTATGCTTTTATTCAGGGTCGTTTTTCTGATGCTGAAAAAAGTAAACAGGCGATATTGGTGTGTTAGTGTCTGATAATTGCCAGTACATGTTCAGAAGTAAACGTGATTATTGTCCCACTGGAGGCTGCTATTATTCAGTTATTACTTAGATGCAGTTCAATAGTTCCTGCTTGCTTCTTTGGTATGTTTTTTTAAACACAGTACTACACTCAGTTTTACAACAGTGAGCAGAATGTTGTCCTTATAAGGGACTCTATGAACATTTTTAAATCTAGATATGTCAAGGAACCATTCAAACAGGCAGAGCACATGCAGTCTGAAGCCAATCTGTACTGCCCAAAGACTTTGACTCACGTTGCTTGCCTTAACTTGATTTGCTTATTTTTGGCTATATTGATCATGTGTAGAGGCATCAGCACATCCAGTGCCCACAGTGGGGTTTTTTTGTTTTGTTTTGTTTTTTATCAGAAACTGAAGTTTTTACTCTTACGTCAGGAACTCAAGACGTCATACAGTGCAGCAGTAAGGTTGTATTCCTTTCTAGTCTGCATCCCCAAATGTCTTCAAGTCATCTTTGTTGAGCTAAAGCAGCTCAAAGGTGGAAAAAACAGAGTTGTGTGAGGCTTCGTAGAAATAACATCGTCATAAGACTCACATGCCAGCTGTGCAGACTTTAGAGGCGCCATATATCTGTACTTCAAAAGGACGCAATAAAAGAAAGAACAAATTGCCTTTTCTATGGTTTAGGATACGAGGTGCCTTTTAAAGGTCAGTCGATCTGTATTGACTAATCATGCAAATATAGTCAATCATTAACAGTATTATTGTTTAACAGAGGACAGGAGCAGGTGTGTGTAGCTGTTCAGCTTTATATGGTCCTGCACTTTTGCAAACATCCTTTATTTATAATGTGATCATTTAGACAGATAAATGATGACGAAATGATTCATTTTCTTTGCTTCTTAAGTGAGGTATTATGTTCTCCTTTTTTTTTCCTGGCGACAGCCGGCTATTACAGGACTAACAGGCATCACTAATGTCCCTGTCTTCAGTGCTCCCACAGACAAACTGACGCCTCCACGAATAAGAGTGGACTGGTTTACAGTTGAGATGATAGTGTGCTACATAACTCCACCAATTTCAGTCAAGTACAAGAAACTGAACAGGAGAAAAATGCTGATCATCTGAGCAAGAAACCCATTAAAACTGGTATAAAGCAGTTTATGGATTCCCACAAGCGATTATGCTTTCCTGATGGAGAAATTTGTGCAATCACATTTTAATGGGGTGGGGGAATATTACAGCAGTAATTGTTTAGGATATGACAGAAATTAATACTTGAACTCCTGATACGATCATAATCTGGATTCATATCTAAGTCAGCAAAATGAAACTTCTTTTATAGAACACTGTAACAAAATTGAAGCATAATTGTATTAGAAGACTTGAAGGATTATGTTATAAATGTTTCAAATCCAATTTTAGTTATGCCTTTCTCCTTAAAGGATTTTGTTTAGCGTGTACATGCCATGATTGGATGACAAAGAATGAAAAACAAAGCTGAAAAGTATCTCAAACCCAGCATAGAACAGACTAAAGGTTATAGGAATCACTGACTTCCTCCCAACTTCCTTTCCTTTCTTAAGTGCCAAACCAATCATTAGTCTTTTCTGTAGATAGAAATCAAACTGACACTGCCTTATTCAGCCTAGTAAACTGTTTTCACTGGACCTTATTTAATAAGAACTAACCGCTATATGTGTAATGAGAATACTTAAAGTCATCCTTGCGTCCCAGGAGTGTAACAGATATGTGGTGTTTTCTTGTGCTCTGTCCTAAAGTAAGACAACCCTGGCTTTTTAAGCAGAATTTTTATATCGGTTAGTCTGGGAGTGTTGCCAGGGCCGTCTCCTTGCCTCGCCACCTATGTGGCCTTAATGTGATAGATAGGTTCACTGTACAAGTACAGCAAAGTGGATAATGGAAAGGAGTGCATTAGTTCCCATTATATACCTAACCCTGGTTTGATGGCAGTGGAAAACAGCATTATACTTGTACCTAGAGGAGACTGATATTAATCTTAAATGTATTGTGAAAGCAGAAAACAAAACTGCTGAAATTTATCTTAATCTTGTCAGAGTGAAAAAGTGGCAGAGCAAGTATTGTTACTTCTCTTTTTGCCATTTTGGTAGGAAGCCTAAATATTCAAAGAAAAATGACTGAAACAACTTTTGTTTTTACAGGATACATCTAACTAAAAGTACTTTATAACGCAAGAATTTGAAGTAATAATCAGGGGTAAATGGCCGGTATTTGTATAGTGCTTTTACTAGTCCCCCCTAGGGACCCCAAAGCGCTTTACACACCCAGTCATCCACCCATTCACATACTGGTGGAGGCAAGCTACAGTTGTA